TTCTATTCTATGATCCGTTCTCCTCACTTCTTCATGCCAATGTGTGTATCCCTAGGACAAAGCTAGGAGTGATATGTGAATCACACAGGGCCCCAAACTCAACACGCTGAACACATTTCTGAAAGTTACAGCCAGTTAGTACTGCCTGTGAGTCAGTTAAGAACCCTCCCTAGACATTCAAATGCCTCCTGCACAGCCTCCTGTCAGTGCCTACAGGGACAATTATCCCAAACTGTGACCTCCCAGGACTTCTTAACTCAGATCCAGTGGTGCTGTGAGAAAGTACAGGGGCTTTCTGACAGGAGTATTTAGCCCAGTGACTTTTTTTATTAACATTTTTAGGATGCCAGACCCCTTCACCAATCTAATTAAGGGTGCTGTGAACTCCCTTTCCTCAAAATTATATCACAGTAGAATTTCCCAGAATATAGACCACTGGGTCCGTAGCCTCCCCAGAGCTAAGTTTAGAACCACTGCTTTAGATCTCTGACCCCTTTTCCATTAATTTTCAGGAACACATTTGCGTTCCAAAAGTCTAGGATTGCCAGAAACCAGGTAAGTGGGACACTGTTGTATTGATTTTGCCAAAATGCTGACCTTCCTTTCAACAAGATAAAAGATAGAACAGGGCCTGGAACAATGCCTATGTGCAAGGAACCGGTTTTCTTTCCTTTGTGCCCATACCATCGCTACACGTTAACAGCGCTGTAATCCTCATTTGAGAAAACAAAGCAAAGGATAGCTTATCCTCATCTGCTGTATTTCTGTCTCTATTCCCATGTTTTTCCCATCATGTCTGGGATATTTTAACCCTGCTCCTGCAAGGTCTCTACTTCCTCCCAACCATGATGGAATCCACCCAAGTGTCTTCTTGACTCCCCTGCCCCTCCCTTCTCTCTAACCTACACCATCTCAGAGGATCCTGTTATGCGACCTTTAACAAGAGCAGCTGTTATTAATCAGACCAACACAGAACACGTGTCCTCCTTACAAAAGCCTTCATTCAGCCAAACCTGCCCCCGCACCACACACACCCACAGCCCACTCTGGCTGCTTATGGTTGTTATGCCCTTGGGAGCACACCTTGTTGCAAGTCACAACCCATCATGTCTCCATCCATAAAACAAGACTGGTAACAGCACCCCCGGCCAGCATTCCCCTTAATCCATTCAAAATCTGAGTGGGGACCTATTAGTGGGCTGTGAAATTCAGAGTAGGTCATAACCAGCATTTTTTAATAATGAACTAGAAAGTACCAGAGTGCATCCAGTTATGTTGTACGCTGGATCACAACACAATTATCCATCTTACTGTGGGTCAGGTAAAAAAGGTTCAAAGCTATTGCTATAAAGTATTGCCAGGCACAAGGTCGTCAGTCAGTAAACATCTACTGAATGACAGAATGAAAATGGCCAGGCCCCTCTGATTCACTTATACTAACAAATCAAGTAAAACTTTATCCTGGAAAAATTTCAGGCAACTCATAAAGGGCTCTTACACTCCTAAGGGATAGGTCACAAGCTAGTGGCTCAAAGTCCCCAGACATGCTATTGTTAAAATGCTGTAGTTCATTTAAAAGAATACATAAAAATTTCCATTCAACTCTATATATGAGACTTTAAAAAAAAAAAAATCCAGCAACACTGAGCCCGTATGAGAACAATGAAGTGGAACTCCGTACAGCTTTGCTAGTATATGCACCCTCCAGAGTCTATCTACATCTGTCCAGTGTATGAACTCGAATTTGCCACAGTCCCCACCACTCCCTATTACTTCCACCCAGCTTCACTCAGATTGTCTGAAAGGCTCCTGTACTTATCGGAGTCTGCAACTCTTGTCCCATGGGATATGCACATGATTCCAGTTCAACCACATCCCTGACCTTCACCCTGCAATTCCCTGCTCCTATTTTATATCTTAAGGAGCTCTAGTTGCATAGTACGTAAAGCATTTAACTGCTAACCAGAAGGTTGGCGGCTCAAACCCACCAGCCACTCCGCAAAAGGAAAACAGGGCCATCTACTTCTGTAAAAATTTACTGCCTCAGAAACCTAATGAGTCAGAGTCGACTCAATGGCAGTAGATTTAGTTTGTTTTTGGTTATTTCATATCTTGAACGTGAATTTCCTCATCTATAAGAGGAATAGCTCTATCACAGGGATATTGGGACTATTTACTAAGATGATGCATGTGAAAGGGACTAGCACAAAGTAATGGTCCAGTAAGTGTATACTAAATCTATTCCCATCTCAGTTAACAGTATCTCAGTTTATCTCAACCATGATTCCCAAACTACGAGGCATAAGTGTATACTAAATCTATTCCCAGCTCAGTTAACGGAATCTCAGTTTATCTCAACCATGATTCCCAAACTACGAGGCACGCTGGAATCATCTGGGGATCTTTAAAAATACTGATGCCTGGCCCCCAGCCTCCAGATCTGATTTCATTGGTTCAGGGTGGGGCTGGACATCAGGGTTTTTAATAGCTTCCCAAGTGATTTGTTTCTACTGTAAAATCTGACAACCACTTTCCTAGACAGTCACCTAGAGTCTGAGTCATTCCTAACTTCACCTTCTCCCTCGGCCTTCACAATCTCTCTCCAGTAAACCCCCTCCTTTCTACTCTCAGGCAAGAACAGAAGCTTTTCAATTGCCTTTCAGACAATCTGAGTGAAGCTACTGGGTAGAAGTAATAGGGAGTGGTGGGGACTGTGACAAATTAGACTTCATACGATGGACAGATGGACAGATATGCACAGAGTAGATATATACTGAAATGTGTACATTTCAATATTTTAGTAATAATTCTTTAATTTTTATTGTGATTTGAATAAAAGTTTACAGAGCAAATTCACCTTCCATACAGCAGCTCACATACACTTTGTCTCATGACATTGACTACAATTTCTCACAATGCAGCAGCTCCCCTCCCACTTCCTCCCCATAGTTACCTCTTCCCTGTGTCCTTCCCTCCCACACACTCCTGCCCCCTCAGCTGTCTCCAGTGCATACACAGCCCTTCAATTCTCCCATGACCGATCTCTCCAAGGAGTGTATCAACCTAATGTAAATAAATGTTCATGTACATATCCCATGGGACAAGAGTCAAAGACTCAGATAAGTACAGGGGCCTTTCAGACAATCTGAGTGAAGCTGGGTGGAAGTAATAGGGAGTGGTGGGGACTGTGGCAGATTCAAGTTCATACGCTGGACAGATATGTGCAGTGTAGATATAATTGTTCTCATATGCCTGTCTTTTGTTCAGCTGGAGTAATATTCCCTCTTAAAGGTGTTCCTGCCTCTAACTTCTCGCCCCACCCTTTCTCCACACCACTGCCAGAGTTCTCTTTCTAAAATACACCTGATCGTGTCACTCCTCTGCTTAAAAACAATGAACTCCAAACCCCTGAACTTGCCACAGAGACCTTTCACAACTGGCCTCTTACCAACTCTCCTATCTGCATCTTCTGGCACACCCCAAAATACACCCTACCTCTTACCACCACCAGACTACTCAATTATTTGGGTGTTTTGGGACACTCATCCCACTTTCATGGATAAGTTCATACTGCACTCTTTGACTAGAACCCCATTCCCCCAGCTCGCCAACTAACAAAACCTTATCCATGCTTTAATGCTCACCTCAAACTATCATCACCTCTATTAAGTAATTCTTACCCATACTCAATCTTTCCCTCCCGCTTTTATACCAAACCACTGCCGTCAAGTCAATTCCAGTTTATCGTGACCAGAGTAGAACTACCGACAGGGTTCCGAAGGCTGTAAATCTTTAGAGCAGTAAACAGCCACATCTTTCTTCCACGGAATGGATGGTGAGTTCAAACTGCTGACCTTTGGGTTAGCAGCCAAGTACTTTAATCACTGTGCCAGGAGGGTTCCTTCTCTCTTCTGCACTTCTGTATCATTACAATAGCTAACATGTATCTAAGGCTAAGAGTCTCTCATATATTATTGTTGTCAGTTCCTGTTGAGACAACCCCAGCTTATGGTGACCCCATGCACAACAGGAGTGGACTGTGTAATCCACAGGCTTTTCATTGCTAATTTTTTGTAAGTAGATCACTAAGCCTTTCTTCCTATCTGACTTTATAAGGAAGCTCCACAGAAACCCGTCCAACATCACAGCAACACGGAAGCCTCCACTGACAGAGAGATGGTGGCTGTATCTGAGGTGCACTGGCCAGGAATCAAACTCACATCTCCTGCATGGAAGGTAAGAAGTCTATCACTGGGCTCGGGGCCATGGCTGGGGGGACATCAGGCTCGACTGACATAACATACTACACAAAAACAATGTTCTACATCCTACTTTGATGAGTAGCGACTGGGGTCGTAATAACTTACAAGTGGCTATCTAGATGCAACAACTGGTCTCTCCTCATCCAGAGCAAAGAAGAATGAAAAAAATCAAAGACATACGGAAAAAATTAGTCCAAGGGGCTAGTGGACCATATGAATCTCAGCCTATAGGACCATGAGACCAGAAGAACTAGATGGTACCCAGCTACCATGGTTAACCACTTGGAAAGGGATCAGTGCAGGAGATGCTGGATAGAGTGGGAGAGCAATGTGGAACAAAACTCAAAATCATAAAAATGACCAAGCTTACTGGTCGGACAGAGCCTGATGAGACCCCTAAGACTATGGTCCCCAGTGACCCTTCAAACCTAGAATTTAACTCACTCCTATGGCTTCCAGTCTAACAACAGACAGGCATATAGGGTGAACATTTACACCAGGTAGATACACTGCTTAGAACAATCAATCGTGGGAGAACAGAAGGGCAGTATTTGCACAGGGAGATAGCTCAGGGGGCAGTAATGCATAGGAAAGAAGGACACAAGGAAGAGGTAAGTAACTAGAGGTAAGAAGTAGGAAAAGAGATACTACATTCTGGCGACTGTGTTATCATGAAACGAAATGTTCATGATCTGCTGTATGGAAATGAATTTGCGCTGTAATCTTTCATCCAAATCACAATAAAAATTAAAAAAAAAAAAAAAGGAATGCTACCACTGAACCACTACTGCTCCCTCACGTGTACTAAACCCAAAAACTAAACCCACTGCCATTGAGTCAATTTTTTACAACAATCCTTCAGGTAGGTATTACACCCAACTTACAAATGGGGTAATAGGCTTTAAGTACTGAAGTGACTCTGCCAAGGTCACCAAGTTGTAAGTGGTGGCCAGGATGGACACACCTAAACCATGTCTTCTTTACCACTTATTCCACCTCACTTTGAAACCTCTTCTAGCACACATTCTACTTTGTATTACAGTTGAGACACAGCATCTTGAGTAGTGCCTCATCATCTGTATTTGTCTCATGACCCCAAGGCTAGGTATTCAATAAGCAGACCCTCAATGAACGAATGAATGAATGGAATAGAACTCTCCCAGCAACCCCAAGTTCTTTAACCAAAATAGCACTCTGATCAAATTTTTAACAATTGATTCTGTCTTTTATTATACTTCACACTTTAACTTATTATCATACCCTTGAAAATAGAGATTCTCATTACTTAATGGGATCTTAGTTTTGGCTGCAAATAAAATTCAGGACAGGTAATTGCTGATGCCTTGAAATGCTGAATCATAAAACTGTCATCAAGTGAAAAACTACAGATTGTTATAAAGGATTAAGCACACCCCTTGCCTGGATTTCATCTCTCATATCACATTCATGCATAGGCAGAATTTCAGGGAAACACTCTGAAGTGTTAAGTTTTCCTTGTTTTACCTGCTTTGGATCAGTCCATTCTTGCTGCAATATACCTTACATATCAAGGCCTGCAGAAGAGCACAGAGTGGAAAACAACAAGTTGGTAACTGTTAAGAAACTTTTGTCTTTCACAAGGAACTGGTGGAAGGGGAGGAAATAATGCATCAAGTAGGGACTGACATGTTCACCTTCGATACAAATCTAATAAAAGAATAAATGCCAAAACAAGCAAAGTCGTTTGTGATAGCCTGCAGGAAAGGAAGTGGGTCACAGTCAATACAAAGGAGGGTCTTAACTTTCTGGGAAGGAGCTGTGGTGGTGTATTAGTTAAGGCGTTTGGCTGCTAACCAGAAAGTCGGTGGTTCAAACCCACTAGCCACTCTGCGGAAGAAAGATGAAGCAGTCTGCTCCCATAAAGATTTACAGCCTTAGAAACCCAAGGGAAGTTACTATGAGTCGTAATCAACTCGATGGCAGTTAAGTTCGGTTTTTGAAAACTTTCTGGAGGAGCACTGGTGGCGCAGTAGTTAAAGTACCCGGCTGTTCGAACCCAAAAAGATGTGGCACTCTGCTTCAGTAAAGATTACAGCCTGAGGAATCCTAGTGGCTGTTCTATTCTGTCCTCTAGTGTCGCAATGAGTCGGACTCCACCGTAACGGGTTTAGTTCTTTCACTTTCTGGTACATACTGGAGGTGAGGAGGCTAAGGCTCAGAAGGGTTCAGCCGCTTGCCCAATGTCATTCTGCTACTTCAAGTCTAAGCCGGAATTCATACACAGACAATCTGACTCCACAGCTCGAACTCCTAAGCCCTGAGCAACACCGCCTGCCGGGTTCCATCGTAGCCCCAAGGCTGGAAAAGGGCACGCGCCGGCGCTTCAGCCGCACGTAGCGTTTCCCCATCTCGCCGGAGGCGGAGGGGGTGGGAAGGACTGGCAATAATGACGAAAACGAGGTCTAGAAAAGCTAAGAGACTCGAACAAGGTCATACAGAGGGTCGCTGCTCAGGTTGCTAGTGGACCGCCGCATCCCTCGGGGCCACTGGCGAGACTGAGCCACAACGAGAGTCTACCGACAGAGAAGTGGCGGTGCTCAGTTCACCGAAGTCAGGCCTGCGAGCAGGTCTGCAGTCCCCAGGGCGCCGGCCGCGGGGCTAAAACCAAAGTCAGTCTGCCGCACCTGCCCAGTGTTCCACCAAGGGCCTTACCGGGTCGCCAGAACTTCACCGGTCCCACGGGCGCAGCCATGCTGGGGTGAAAGGTCACGAAGAAGGCTCCACCCACTCCGTCTGCTCCTGCCTTGGGAGGGCCGGGGGTGTGGCCCACGAGGAACCTCTGCTCAGGGACCTCGGGTTGTGTTACGACCACGCCCCCCGTGGCCACCGCCCCTCTGGGCCACGTGATCAATAACTAGTTGAGGGCGCTTCTAGCTACGCCCCCTTCCATCCCCAGTAACCTATAGAATGAGTATGTAGGCTGTTACCACTCCCTCCCCGACCGCAACGCCCCCCATGTGACCTACGGCCAGTCTCCGGCGAGCGTCAAGGCCCCGCCCTCTAACCCATGTGACTTAGCCCGCCATATTGGGGAAGAAAGCGTGCTCTTCTGGCTTTTTTTTAGCCTGGTGGGTCGGGATTCTCAGTGGCTTTTCTAGGAGCATGGCAACCTAAAGGACACCCGCACGCCTCCGTGCGGGAGGGCGGGCTTTAGGAAAGGACCGCTGGCGCGAGGTCTTGCTGCCGCCCGCACGGCACTCTGCACGCTGTGAGCGCTGCAGCAATGCATCCAGATTTGACCACTAAATCAAGATTATGCTACAAACTGTGTTCGTTTGCTACTTCTTTTGGCCTCATCGTCAGATTGGAAGATGATAATGTTAACTGCCTCATGGGTTGGCTTGTTCAAGGAATATTGGGCGCGCAGCGTGCGCCCAGGTGCTGTGGTTTCAGCCTCTTCTCTCGTGGAGCTTCAGTCTGAGCAGGGGAGGGTGAAGAGTAAATGTGTAAATGCTCTATAAGTATTAGCGTTTACTATTATCTAAGTAAACAAAACAAGGTGAAATAGTATTAAATCCTCTAGGAACTTGAGAGTAATGCCAATGCAATCCAAGCAGATTAGACACGCCACATGCCTGTCCTCAGGCGTGGGCACCACACTTCCCCAGGATCTGGGATTTACTAACCGCGCTGGGATGTGACAGGTGCTAATCCCGCTCCGAAATTATTGTCATGTGGAAGGAGAAGGCATTTCAACTGAATCCAGATCAGAGCTGCCCAAAGGTGGAGAAGACTCCTGGGACTGGTAATGAGGGCCCCGTTTCCAGAAGGGCTCAAGTAGAAGCAAAATGAGTGGTTGAAAGTATTCAAGAATTAAAAATGGGGTGACTTTCCTAAATCTCTAGCTATACCTTATTTTGTAATCAGGGAAAAAACAAGGCCTGGAACTAATTTTACACAGAATTAGGGTGTATCATCTTTTAAGTCCCTGCCAACTCTAAATCTTTGTAATCACTTAAATCACTCCTTGCTTTAAACAAATTGAATCTAAACTTTGCCCATAAGTAGTCACATTTAAGCATCTCATGCAAAGTCTGGTGGATAAACAGTTTGTAGTCTAACTCAAGTCTGCCCCTCAGGGAACACAGCCTAATCCTGTGAACACTAGAGAAACAGGAAGTGCTGACACCTTTGGGGTTTGCAGAAGGGAGAGCTGGTTCCAGGTGAGGAGATCAGGGGAGGCTTTCTACAAAGATGGTCATTTGAGCATTTGAGGCTTTTGGAGAAGTCGAGTTTTATAGGCAATAGAGAAAGCCAGAAACAGTTCTTGTTAGGGTGTGTGAAAGGGTGTGATGAGAAGTAAGTTGGAAAAAGTAATTTGGGTCTAGATTCTAGAAGGCTTTGAATTTTGAGATTAAGATTTAGGACTGTAGACATCTATTCTAGGATAATCTGTCAGCAGCGGTGGGAAAAAAAATGGGTTGGAAGACAAGACTAGAAATTGGTAAATTAGTTAATCCAGTGTTTCCTCCAATTTGACTGATCATGAGAATCATATTCTTGTTAAAATATAGATTTTAGACCCTCAGCCTAATCCTGAATCAGAATTTCCAGGGGCATGGCCTAGGAAGGTGCATTTTCAGACATTTCCACAGAGGATTCTTAGGATCGACAAGCTTGGGAAAGATTTCACTAAACCAACGGAAAGCTAACAAGGGCTAATAATTAGCTCAAGTGGAGGAACTATTTCTAGGTAGGCAACTACCTAGATAGATGTGACAGTGAGGCTTCAGAATCCATTTTTAGAGCTGTTAAGAAATTTCTGAGCGAAATGGCATAGTCACAGTAAGAGTAAGGACTTTGAAGCCAAGTAGGCCTGACTTGGAATCCTAGCTCTGCCATTTTCTAGTTGTCACTCATCTGTCAGTTTGTCCTGTGGTGGCTTGCATGCCGCTGTGATGCTGGAAGCTATGGCACCGGTATTTCAGATGCCAGCAGGGTCACCCCATGGTGGACAGGTTTCAGCAGAGCTGATGGACTAGGAAAGAACTACTTCTGAAAACATTGTCCGGTGCAAACCTCATGAAGAGCAAAGAACACTGGCTGAAAGAGTGCTGGAAGATGAGCCCCTCAGGTTAGAAGGCAGACAACAATGGGCGCAAGCATAGCAATGATTATGGGGCTGGGGCAGCATCAGGCAGTGTTTTATTCTGTTGTACGTAGGGTGGCTGTGAGTCAGAATCAACAGCACCTCACAACCCAAGCTGTCATTTAATCTTAGTTGTAAAGTGAAGTATAAAAAACTCGTATTTAACGAGATAACATGTAAAATACCTAACCATGCAAGATGTAACAGGCATTCAGTGTTTGCTCTCATTATCTTATTTTAAACAGCAGATTGAGCAGAACAAAGGAAAAAATCTGAATTTACCTGCATACTTTCATTTTCCAACTTTCTCCTTTGATTTCTTTCCATAATAATGAACATAATTCATGTTAATCCCTTTGCCAAGAATTCTCCATCCATCCTAAAGGGCCAGCTCTCAAAAGACTTCTCTAAACTCATTATCAAACGTAAGCATTCCCACTCTAGACTCAGATTCTCCCTGTTGACCTTTGTGATAACACTTCCTTAGTTGAACCGTAGTTAGCTTGCCTCCACTATTAATTATACTGGGAGCTTCTTGAAGACCAGGCCACCTTTTTCTTCATAGCCCAATCACAAAGAGCCTACCATGTGGTGTATGTGTTAATGCTGTGTTTTGTACTGAGTTCTTTATGACATTGACCCTCATTTTATTTTTGTCATATTTTCACTAACGGCCAAAGTATAGAATACAAGGTTTATACATAAATATGAGGAACTATGAATGTCACTTTTTATTACCATATTTTACAAATCACTCATAATTATATGAAGGAATCTTCCTCTTTATGAGACAGTAGATTGGCCATCCCCAAATCATTATCATAATTTTAAAACTGGAGGAGACCTTAGTCAACATCTTGTCTAAATTCCTTATTTTTAGACAAGAGAATGGAGGCCCATGGGGGTTAAAATGACTTAGTCAGACTCAGCTAATTTAGCATCAGAACGGAAACTAGAACTCAGACTTTCTAATTCCCAGGTCATTGCATTTTTGAATATATGGGCCATTTAAAACCCTTAGCTCTAAGCTCTCCTAGGTGAGTATTAGTTGTCTGCCTCAGGAAATTCTCAAAGCCCAACTGTTGCTAATGGGTTGTTTTGCTTATACCGACTTCTCTTAAAGAAAATACCTAAGAAATAACCTAGATGTTTATGTGGTTTCATTGTCACAAACTGGGAATGAATGGTCTCAATAGATTCTGGGTCTTCCTAATTAACTATTTTGAGAAAGAATGGCCAAAAATAACTACTGTTAAAACTGTTACTTCTTCTGTGGCTTCCAGCCAAACAAAAGACAGGCATAGGAGTTGAACATTTACCTGAGGTAGATACACT